CCTAACTAATTTCTTATATTTATATTTATTTATATGACAACGAACTTAATTATAATTTCAACCTCTAGTTCAGCACTGATTAAATAAACTACCTCGTCTTTATGCCAACTTGAAGTTATTCTATGCCTACATCAGTGACTTCAAAATACATGTTTCAATCCCGGGAATTTCACTTGCTGTTAATGGCACGGGACTGCCAGTCTTTCATGATTGTCTATTGTAATGTTAATTTCTTGTGATTACACTGAACATATGAAGCTGTAACCACAGACCGTCTAGGTGCTGTAATTAAATCCTTGTATAAGCACCGGTTAGCCAGGCTTGAACTATGCATGTGAAGCCAGCTGAAAGGTATATTCAATCCTATAGATTTCTCATTGTTTGGTAACTATTTGCTGCAAATGCAACAAAAATATATCTAAAAATATTACCCACACAGCATTCTACAGGTTACTTGTATATCGTTTAGATTTCCGTCAAACTTGATATTTTGGATATACTAAAATCATAGTATATAGTATGTAGAGTATTTAATTATACCTAGAGGGACTGTGATTATATAAGACCCGGCTGTACCGATAAAATCAGTGGCATGTTTCAAAGCTATAGTATGACCTATGACCTATCACTGACAACAAATATAATATCACCTTCAGGTGACCCACGTGCCTGGTACGTGTAACATACTCGACGTATTCAAAGAGGACACTAGATAAATAAATGATAAAACCGGAAACCCGATATTAAACTAGTAAGCAATTATTAAACAGGTCAACAGGTCAAGCGCCCACGGCACTACTTCTGTTATCATGATCGAATTTTGAACTTCATGGACAATGGTTGAATGCCCAGATGACGGCATCAATTTAGTCATGATGTCTGACAGTGCCAGTTGACAGGTGCTCGTGTGCAGTTACATATATGCATAGCTACATATAAGCCGTGATAGTATTCTGTGGCGAAGGTTATCGTAATGTCGCAGGTCAATATTATTTATATGCATTACAAGAACAGCATTTCTCCGGGTATAAAATAAACACATTCATCTGGCGTACAAGTGATAATAAAATAAATGCGATATTTACTAAACTAAATAATTAATAGACAAATTGAGAAACGCGTTTTTCAGATTCCTACCAATCGGGGAAAATGCCAAACTTTGACAAACGTCCCGTTTAAGTAACATTAAGCAAACCGCTAACAAAATTCAGCCAAATTCGTCGTTTTGTATGGAAAAATCCCTTGCATACGAACACCAAATTACACATATAATGTAATAGAACATGATATAATGCTTTTTAGTATGTGTTTATTTAGTTTTAAGCCGTATCCAAGATGGCGGCGATAAATTAAACGCATTTGTTTTATTATCACTTGTACGCCAACTGACTGTAAAAAGAAGTTAGGTGACGCTTTGGCCAATTCCAGTTACTACACCCCTTGCACATAGATGGTTGGATTCCGATGGGGTATTGGTTTTGGTAAACGTTCCGATGAGATATATTCATAGACATACATCTGGGGTATGGAATCTATACTATTTCTGGTGGATGTAGCCACACAAAATGTAGCAATAGTGGAATTCGCGTAAATTGATTGTTGATTGTCAAATTCGCAAAATTGTAATTGTTTGTATTTGCCATTTCAGGTGTCCATAACAAAGTAACCCATGGGGTAAAGTCACAAGCACTTTATATTCGATGGGGTGAAGTTATGCTACTGGCAAAACTCACCATGACCGTCTGTAGAGGGCTGTATAATAACTGGAATGTCCTTCGTCAACCTCGTCACGTAACTAGTGGTTAATAAAACACTCTCTTGCATAATTGCTCATCTAAAACCAAGTCACTGCGCAGCAGACTGTGACATTTGTACCCAAATTGTACCCAAGATTGCCCCTAATTTATACGTCGCTGGTCTTACATAATAGTGCTATTCTTCGCAGTCAAAAATAGTTGAACAATGAATGTGAATTAGAGTGAATGACATAATGGGTTGAACGTTATTGTGTTGAAGCGATATGCTGCTGGTACATGTACTTAATACTTATACCCCACGCCCACACGCTGACACTGCCAGGATTTTCGCACGTCTACTATATTTACGAGATTAACTCGGCTTGGCGCAGTCGTTTTCTTCGGAGACTTTTGAAATAGAGCCTTGTATTAAACTTTGTAAATTACCCACTCACCAGCTTCAGAAGACATTCTCTTGATTCACGGCACGGCGACGGTTGACTGCAGAGTACTCGTAGCGTACGTCAGCCTGTACGTGTACTGGGTGACTGTAAATAAACCTCGCAGTTATTGAAGAGGTCACTGACCAGTCAAATTGAACATCGCCCTCACATTGATTTTAAAGTGCTCGAACACAAACGAATGGTCACAGTTTCGTAATTGTTTGATTTGTGCACAATCCCCCTATCTATATAGGGACTGTGATTTGTACAACTTTTTTTTCTCACTAAAGAGTCCTTTTCCTGGAAAAGCTTCCCATTTTGTAGGCACGCCCTAACCGTCGCGTCAATACGCTCTTTGAGGAATTATCATAAAACAATAACATTCCCACGCATGGGCAAATCTAGGCACACCCGTATGTATCTCATGTACAAGTACCAGTGTGTTTATGGTACTGAGTTCTGTGTATTTGTTTGTAGATGAAAAATAAATTTAAAAACAAAACATCATCTGTAGATGATCTAGAATCCCGATATTAAAGTTAGAAGGGATGTACATAGGTGGTACATGAACTACTAGTAGTGTATATCCCGTGGCCTTGAGTAATAGTATACATAGCGTAAACAGCATATTTCTTGCTGGTGGTTGAAACTGGGAGCTGTGCCATTCATAATAAGTTAATATCGTACTAAAATTACTGAATCGTGTAAAATCAGACACCCCCACATAACGAGACATTAGGTGTAGGTGACGTAGTAGGGAAAAAACACTAGATTCTTGGAGGGGTGGTCAAAACTTCACCAAAAAATATTGTGACTAAAATATGCAACTTGTAAAAAAATAACAACAATAATAACTTAGAAAAAGTTACAATTTCAACTACCCTAAATTCCATTCACTGCTGCATTTTATGTTACCACTATAACATTAATTTAAGCGTCACAGCTGTCACACCTATCGCCTTCATTAAACTTTGCATAATTTGAAGCAATGTATTTTATACGCACAGTTTTCTCAGGTTAGGAAATGCCCGTCTCCATGGTAACATGTTCAATTCATTGAAGTAATATACGGGCATGTGAAAGTTTTAGTTTTTGAGTGTCTAACTTGATCATTTTAGTATCACGTTGATGTTCGCCAGGAATGCATTCTCTATTTTTTTAATGATATTAATTAATAATTCACAAAATAAAAAGATACTTGGGTGGGTGGATGCTGGTTGGGTCTTATCAAATTCTTCTATTTTTACTGGAGCAAACAGCCGAAAACCAAACTTTTTTCGTGTGGATTTTCAGAAAATTGGGATGACCAAGGAGGAGGACCAGGTCAAATTTACATTAAAAATAGAAAAATGATTCAAGTTGCAGTTTATATCATTTCATTTCATTTATATCTTTTCGTTTATCATCACAGAAGCTGGCTATTCAACGTGGTAGACATGTTGGTATGAAACAGTCAACATTCTATTGCAATACAGAAGACGAGTGCAACCTTTTGCGTGTTTGTCTGTTGTATGCCGATCTTACATCTAAACAAATCATGATTTCTTTATGAAAAATGACACATATACTACAATCCTATAGACCTTACGTACCTGTATGTTGTTTTCTTGCGAAGAGAATAGAACATGTACTATATATTTTCATTTTGTTTGTTTATTTGCAAATTTGCCGATTATTTTACGGTACATATGCAAGCGCTGAATATTTTTACTCCCTCATGTTTACAGAGGGCCGGGGTTGAAGCAGTTGCGTATAATCGGGATCCACTTGGCTTGTGTCGACATCGCGCTCTCGTACACCTGTATTTGGCTCCTTGTTGATTATTGCCACAACAATTATTAATTCTCCAGCAATGAAACTCCAGAAAGCAATAAAACTGAACATTTTAACAACGTGTCAAGTCTGTTAATGACATCATTGCGATAGTTCGTTGACCAATTGATCGCCCTCTACCGGCGGTTGTTGTTTAAAAGTTGAGAATTCCAACCAATGCTCAGGCTCACGGGCGCTTGCAACAGGATTTATGGTTCAGGGAGATAGGCTTGGGTAGGATTATATACTAGTATAGTACTAGTTATTTTTATGCTAGTATATAACCC